GACCAGCCCTGCCTCCCTCCTGCCCCAGCTCAGCTCAGCGCCCAGGGACCCGGGCGAGTGAGTGCACAGCTGCTCCATGCGGCCTGGGTGGTGAGGGTGAGTGAAAGGAGCTGCATTTCAGATTCCAGAAAACCAGGCAGGAGGCCAGTCCAGCCCCTCCCCTGGGCTCCCCTTGTGATGCAATTGAGGGGGATCCTCCACAGGACTCCCCTCCAGCGGGAAGGAGGCCACAGGTTTCCCTCTTCAGTGTCCCTGCCCCCAGGCCCTGCTGCCCTCCCAGGGGACATGGCCTTGACCCGACCTTGGGAAAGGCCTGGGCAGAGGGGGAGCCTGTCTTGGCCCCACAAGGGGAGGCTCTGGCACAGCGGGAGGAGCCAGGCCCTGCTCCAGGCTGGTCCTGCTCAGACCTCCTCACAGGCACTACCTCCCTCCTGGGCCCCCCACAGGGTCAGGGCTCCCTCCTGTCTCCCTGAGGACCAAATGCTTTCTGCTCAGCCACCCCCCTCCCCCCCATCCTGCCAGGGCCCCTGTGGAATCCATGCTGCACCCAGAGTGAAGGCGTTCACTGCCGTGTGTTCCACGATCACGGACCGGACCCCAAGATCCGGGCTTCACCCCTGACCAGAGCCCCAGGTTGGAGCGCAGGGCCTGAGGGCGCTGGGGGACCCGGTCATCATTCCCGGCCCCTCTCTCAGGTGTTTCCCCTCCTGGGCAGGCAGGTTTCCCAGCATCGTCCCCACAGGCCTGTGAGTGAAGACCCTCATGCTGTCGGATCCCAGGGACCGATATGGTGCCCGCACAGGCCTCTCCTCAGGGCTCTCAGCAGGAGGAGGTGCGAGATGAGGGGGTGCAAGGAGGAGAGTCATGGGCTCAGGCTCCTGGGAGGGGCAGGGATCCACCCTCCATACCCGTGGGGAAGAGCCCAGGGAGGGAGGTTTTTCTCTCCCTAATCCACCATTTCCATCAACAGGAACAGAGGCCCTGAGAGGACAGCGGACCCACTGAGTCCCCCAGCGCTGCAGGGGCCGGGCCAGGCCCTGGAGGACTCCTGACCCTGAGCCTGACCTACAGCTGCTCAGACAGCAGGTGAGTGTGAGCACCAGGCCTGGCGGGCAGGTTTCTGTCCCACTTCCCCACCCGCCTGAGTCACTGTGAGTAACTGCCTTTGGTATCAGGTGCACCACAGTAATACTCAGCCTCGTCCTCAGACTGCAG